CCATTTCTTTTTTAATTTTAACTAAAGAAAAAACATCGTCATAATAATAAAGATTCCGATTGATCTCGTTCTTTTTTTTTCTAATATATGATACTCGATCATGAGCTTTAAAACAAAAGGTTTTAATATATAACAAAATATATTCAAGTGGATTTAATGCATAGATAAAGAATGGGAATAAAACAAAAAAGACGGGAAAATAGCGGAAAATAGAAAATCCCTATCGATGAGCATTTTATTTGAAACTTTATATTTTTTCTTGTATTCGATAGATGAACTTCCAGTAAGGTCATAAATCTTATTTAAGTTACAGTAGACGGCGGCTCTTTTTCTTTCTTTTTTTTTTCTCCGCCAAAAATGTCGTTCACTGTGTTTATCGATATAATTGCTTGTCTTTGTTCTCTTCTACATTCATAAACCATCATAATCATACATTAACATTCAATCATTCTTTTGTTTCAATCTATGATTATGTATTTATGAATTCATTGCAAGAAAAAAAAAACTATCAAATACAAACCTTCAAAAATACAAGTCAAAAGATAACTAAACAAGCTCACAGGGAAAGTTCCAAATAAATTTTATTATTTTTTTTCGACATAATATATAGTATTAGTAGACAAAGACGTTAATGAACGTCATATTTTTTTTGATAATAGAAAATAGGCAATGAGAAGCGAAGAAAGAAAAAAATAGTCATCAATTTTTTTTATTTTTTTTTTCTAAGATTGAGCGGAGACCATAAATACACATATAAAAAAAAGGCAACCGTTACAAAAGCATCTGCTCAACATCTTCAACGAAAGAAAAAAGAAATGAGTGATTTATTTTCTTGTTTCATACTAAAAATCTGTTTTCTAATCACGATGTTCGTTAGAAGTAGAAGACGAAGAAAAAAAGACTATAGAAATAAATGATCTAAATTAACAAATCATAGAATGTCATTTCTTTTTTTCTCTTGAAATTTGATCACAAATATGTCAACCAAATCAATGATACATCAAACAACAATACTAAGAGAACTCTCATGACAACTATCTTCAATTAGCATATCATAAAAATCAGTTGTCTTCAAAATGACTTTAATGATGAATATGTCATGCAAGAGATATAAGATTAATAGACAAAATCGAATATTTTTTTCATTAAGTTATAATCCAAAGAAAAAAAAACCGATATATAATTATGTACGATATAAAGAAAAACTAATTATTATTGTCAGGAAATGGATAAGAACACTTATACCACCACATATAAATGTTATAATAAGTAATGGCATCAAACTTGTTGTATTTGTTTTTGATAATAAACTATATTCATATTTAGCCTATAGAAATAAATTAAAATTTAGAAATAACTAAAAAAAAAAATCAATAAACTCACCCAATAAGTGATATATACTAAATGAGTAATTTGTATTATTGCTAATATATAAAAAATAGTCCATACAATCCAATGACGAGATTTGTTATCAGTCTAAGTTATAAAATATTTCATTATCGCAAAGCAACAATAAAATTCATTTCTTTACCAAAATTTTTCCTATTAAAAACCATAAAAAAATAAGTGGAATTCCAATGAATAATATAAGTATTTGATATCGACCAAAATCTGCTTGACTACGAACATTCAATATTAATAAAGAAATCTACAAAATAAAATTTTCTCTTATAATTTTCTTATATATATATATATATATATATATCTACACACAGTTAACATTGAATCGAGGTTTAGAAACCAAGAAAATATTGCTGCTCGAGAATAATTAGTTTCTATTTTAGTATTCATTCGATATGAATGTATTATAATACCTGTCCATGGTATTAATATAACCAACATAACAAGTACAAAACCTAATCGAAGCTTAAAAGATGAAAAAAAAAGTATGACATCATCAACAATACTAATTATTTTCTTACAGTCATAACAGTAAAATCATCTTTTGCATGATGATTAAGCAAAAAACGAATATAAAAATGTATACCAGTATATGTCGATAGAAGTATAATTGTTAATGTTGTTAAAAGACCATCAGTAATACCTGAAGAAAAGAGTTCATATGTCTTTTTTTTGTTTTCTTTGATTTATATTTCATATAATACTTACGACAAAATAAAGCTGTTGTAATCATAGAAAAAATAACACATCCTAAGAAAAATAATTTTAGATAAATTTTATTTCATATGAACAAACCTGAATGAACAAGAAGTAAAAGACATATAGCAAATTCATTATTTTCTCGTTTCATATTTCGAATTTGTCCAAGTGTAAGAAGAATAATTGGAATCATTGTTAAAATTCCTACTAAAGCATAAAACCATCTTTGTAATATGAATTTTTTATTCATCAAATTTTGTTGTTCGTCTATGACAGGTTTGTAACTCATATTAATTATTACAATCAAAATACAACAATAACACACAACTTCTTTCTATTTAATATTAGTAAGTTCATGTACAAATTTACCTTTTCTTTATCTTCATTCATACAAAGTACGTGTCATTCAATACAATACATATATACATATGTTATAGAATGTTTAATGGATAAAAGAAAAATATTTCTTTCAATGTCAAATGTTTACTAATTTGAATAACTTCCTTTCGACGACGTGAGAAAGCTAATTGGGCATTTGTATGTTTATATATTTATTTAATAATTATTTTTTAAATGAAAGATTATGCACGGAGCACACAAATGACAGTAGATCGAATGTTGCGCTGTATTAATTTGTTTTAAAAGGTTGTTTCTTGTTGTACATATTTGTTCTATTAGATAAAACTGTAAAGAGAATAAATATCTACAGTATTCATATATATTTTGTATTAGAGAGCTGCGAGTCCTTCCAGACTCAGATCCGAGTTTAGAAGTTTAGCTTTTCCGGATCTGAATCCACGAAAATGTGGTCCCCCCAACTCTCTATTTTGTATAACTCATTATTAAATTGATGACGATTCGAGGAATTCATTCATTTATTTCATCAGTTTTCAAACATAAAAATCAGCAGATGAAATAATAATATACCAGTAATTGATCGCATCACTTATATTGTTCATTTTTCAAGGATAAGTAAGATAAGGAAGAATTTTTATGTAATGTTCAAATTAATTAAAAGACAAACGTAGGAACGTAAATATCTTGTATTCTTGCATAAAGCTCTACTTAGTGATATTAATATATCCAATGAAAACTCTTACAGAATACTTTTATACAAATTACGTAAAGATTAAAGCATCGAAACCTATTGATTATGAACTGGAGGAAATAATAACAACCTTGCTCGACTGTAGGATTAATACTGTTAGATATCTTTATATTAAAAAAAACATAATCTAAACTGAGTCAATGTTAGACAATTCGCGCGTATGAACCTTATTTAAATTAGCAAAGATTAGAATCAAATACAACTTTGAATTATCTAGAACATCTCTATCTTCACTGCTGAAGAATGTTGGTAATTTCTTTTTAATTTAAAATATCATCATAATCAATATCTAAGGCACAGAAAAAGAAGTATCCTCAACTGATTGGAAATCAGAACTAGGACAAGGACTTTTGAGAAAATTTAAATATCTCTATTATAATTCCTATACCATTTGAAATAAGTTCACGGTCAATAGGCTCATTTTATCCATCTTCTTGAAGCCTACAAGATGTTAATATACACATTTCTCATATGAACTTTATTCAACAAAAAAATTGTGTTCAAGTACTATTTGCAATATTTCTGCTGTTTATCAACAGATTGGATGGATTAGTGTCTATCGTTGCATACAACGGAAGATGGCAAACAAAATGACCTTATTGGGTTTGTGTTTCATACAAGATATAAAGGTGTTACCGAAAATATACATTCAGTACAATACAGATACCAATGCTAGTTCTGTTCGAAATGAAACTGAAATCAAAAAAGGTCCATAAGCAATTGAACACATTACTGTCACACTAAAGATCTTTACAGGGACGAAAAAGAATTACTCTGTGTCAGTATCTAGTATGAACCAGAGAAGGTTACAGAACGCATGCCCTCTATATAACCTATTTTATCATACAATGGAGTTCTCATCTAGTCGTAAAACTCGTCATGATTGTCCATTATTATCAATAGTAGTTAGAAGAGTATATACTATATCCGTGACTAGTGCTTTGGTGAAAAGGCTATTTAGCTTAGCTGGATTGACATATACTCAAAGACGGACACATTTATCACGAAGTCAAATTGACAACATTATTTATTTGTTCTTATAAGAAATTCAAGATAAAATAATAAAATGGAAACTTATCCGTTCTCGTTATCCGACTGTTTATATTGATTACATTTTGAATCCTATATTTTTATGTTTGTTTTGCTTATCTTATGAATAATAAATACTTTTTCTATATTTGATTTCATTTTTATTAACATGATTATATTGTAAATGGTTTTTGTATCAATAGAAGGTCTATGATATTTAACATCGTACCTCATATAATACAGACAAGTTTAATATCGTTGTCAAAAAAAGCAAGGAAACATCGCCCTGCAGGCCGAACGCAGAAAGATTCTTTGTTCTGCAAAACAGGATGATTGAGTAAAAATATTCTGCAGAATACAAAGCAGGACAAAAAAAACGTGTCCTACGGCGCTTTCTAGTGTGAACTGAATTGGAAATCATATAAGTCTAAAAACTTGTCATTAACACATGCAATAAGAAAATCTATTTGAACCAGCTCAAGATATCAACAATATTGGTTAGCAGATCTTTCTCAGATGATTGATTGTCTGTTCGAAAAAAAAAATTAGCAGTGTAAAAATACTTTCTTCTATTATGGTTTCTGCCTGTGAAATAGTATTCTTATATTCAATCTAATGAAAAGAAAACTTGAGAAAATATTGAAAATAATTTCGAATAATCATGAATAATAATATTTATTTTGAAAATTAAAAGAAATTTTTAAGCATAATAATATGTATAAATAAGAAAAGTTCGTAGCAATATAACACAACATAAAAAAGTTTAATATCTCGTAGAAAATACTTTATCATTATCTATTGATGGTTTAACTGACGCATGTCGAGCTTTAACATCTTCTTCAGCATCATCATCATCATCATCAATATATTTCAAAGTTTTATGCAAATTTTCATCTTCTTCTGAAATATCAGATAATTTAATATGTACTGCACTTATATGTATAACTGCATCTATTGGATTAATATCTGATTCTTGTTGATTATTTAATAATAAACTTGATGTTGATTTTGAAGTTAATGTATGATTTGATTGACTTAAAATTGATGTTGATGTTGTACTCAATGCTGATGTAGTAGATTCAATTCCGCTATCTGTTCTTGAATAAAAATTTTTTTTAAATAAATAAAAATTTTCTTTATTCAATGAAGTTTTATCATTCATAAATGTTGATACAAGTTCTCCAACAGCAACTACACCTTCATTTAATAAAACACTATTTTTATATAAATTATCACGTGTTTCATCTAAACGATGTAATAATTCAATACGTAACATTTGAATATCTTGTTTAAGTTCTTCAAAATCACCTTCACGAATTTCTTCTTGTTCTTCACGTTGTTTATTTAGAAGAAAACGTTTTATAACACGATTCATTACTTTACGGTAAGTTAATGTTTGATTTATATCAAATGATCCTTGTCGTGATCGATAATTATTCGGATCATTTAAATTTACATTTGATATTTGTCTATTTGTTAGTGTTGATATACCATTACCATTTAAATTTGGTGTTCGAAGACCTGTTCCTGATGAATTATTTGTTGGTGATAAAGAATTATTTGTATTATTTGAAACTAAATTTTCTTCATTAGAACCTTTTAATATTTTTATACAAGAAAATATTCGATGAAATAAATAATAGACACTTTTTGGTGTTGGAATAATATTAAATGGAACTGGTAATGTTCCACCTATAATTGAATACAAGACAACATAGTAATAATTTATATTAATTAAAAAAAAAATCAAAGAATATTATATGCAACTTCGAGATTTATTTCTAATTATAAATATACTATAGTTAATTTACGTTTAAATCAGTCTACTTGAATCAACTTTGATTATCTTCTAAGTAATATAATCTTACTCTATTGTTATTTTTGATTGTATTTATTTCGTTTCAAATTTAAGACAACTGTTTTATCTCGAGTTGAATTAAATTATGGAAATGGAGTATTGTAATGATACGGCTTTTCTGATTTTGTACCTTATTCAAACGGATCTATTTGGACAGTTATGAAAATATTCTTAACAAAAACATCGATGATGAAATGTATACGAACTAATATCAATTTTTTTTAAAGTTGCTTGGAGAGAATGCTTGTAATTTTTGAAGGAAAAGTCATAGAGACCTGCTATTTTCATTGTTGGATAGAGTACAGTGGGACATAAAGTACTATGAAATAGTCCAGCCTTCAGATAATGTTTACTACGATAAACCTTTGAATGCAAATTTGACAAAATTGTCTTTTTCCAAATTAATGACGAATTTTGATTTTCAAATAGTGAAATCAAAAGGCTGGATTAAGATCTACCAGTTCTAAACCGGTCCTGTGTCTGTATCTCTTACAGTTCGGGAGTTATGAGCATTCTTAGTAAAGATATCTACTTCAAATAAACAGCGCCACGATGCTCAGAATACTGATAATCCATATATCAAGTGTTTTATAGAATTATTGTCTGTGTCCAAGTAGGAGTAGATACATTTGATAAGAATGCTTATGACTCCCGAACTGTAAAAGATACAGACCTAGGATGGGTTTAAAATCGTAGATCTTAATCCACGCTATTTATTTCACTATTTGGAAATCAAAATTCGTGATAAACTTAGGAACAGATAATCTCATCGAATTTATATTCAAAGATTTATCATAGTAAACCTTATCTGAAGACTTGATTATTCCATAGTACTATGTGCCCCACTGTGCTGTATCCAACAATGAAAACTGCAGGTCTCTACCACTTTCACTTCAAGAGTTACAAGCATTCTCTTTAAGCGACTTTTTTTTAAAAATCGTTATTAGTTCCAATTGTATAATTTCATTGAGAGTATCAAAGTATGGCTCGACCGGGTCCGATAATTTTGGATATGACGGGTTCACAACTATACAGATATTTTAACATCAGTAAACATCTATTTTGAATTTAGTTTTCAAAACAAAAAAAAAGACACATCAGGTCTGATCAGACTTATGCTTATTTGAATGAATTTCTTGTTTTCTAAAAAGCGATAATATCTCAAACTGTAAACAATTTATTGTTGATAAGACAAAAGCAAAGATTACAATCATTTCAGATAGATTTTAGTAAATACATATTTACTCATATAAAATGCTACTAGTCTCCTTTATCTACTGAATTCTTATAAAGAATAATTGCTGACTGTTTTTTTTCGTTTATATATACTCATCAATTATAGTGAATTGAAACATACAATTCTGAATCAAAGATCTGCAATAAGCTACCTTCGAGGTTAAACAAATTTTTTTTAAAAATCTTTTGACGATAGTTTCCTTCTCCTAAAAATGTAGTTACTTCTATAACAATGATTAATTGTTTTTTCTATATTTATGTCATCAAAATTTCTACCTTCTTTAATATATTCCATGTATAATTTACTCCGCGCAAATTTCCATTCGACATCTGCATGTTCTGCAATAGTTTCATAAGATTTTGACATCATAGCAATAAGCATGTTAAGTAAAACAATAACATTAGCAATATTAAATGCACCATAAATTAAATATCCAACTATTTCTGTGAAACGTTTATTATAATTTGTTAATTCGACACCTGCTTTTTCTGCTAAACCAAATAATGACCAAAAAACAGTTTTAAATGTTGAAATCATTCTAATTGAAGATACAAAAAAGAACAAAACGAAATGTTTATTTAAATGAAAAAAAAAAAGAAATTTTCAATTGTAACATACGTTCCAAAAGATTTTTCTGCTGGTAATTCGTCATCTGAATGCTTGTGTTCTATTTCAACATTTTGTCGTACAGATTTTTTATAATACCAGAATAAATTATTTAAACCAAACATAAAACCACAGAAAATTATTAAAAATATTATAATAAATTTTCCAATATCCTTAAAACAAAAAAAAATATATAAAAATTTATGAAATATTTTTACTGTCTAAAAATACTAACAGACATCATTCGGCCTAATGATATTTGTAATGGTCCCAAATGTTGAAATGCTGGTAGCAGAAAACAAATACGTGAAAAACTAAATATATTTGCAATAGCAAAAAGTCCTTCGGCAACATTAATTGGATCAAATGAAACCCAATAGAACCGATCTAGAATGAAAATTTCGTTTTTCTTTTTATTAATATTTAATTAAAAATTAAATAATAATTTCAATTACCGGCATTTAACCAATAAAATGTACGATAAATATTCAATTGTTCAGATTTCGGTAACTCACAAATGTTTTCAATTTTCGTTTGAAAGTCACGATCACCTAATTTTTTAGTAGCATGTATGACCTACAATAAATTGAGATCATCAATTGAGATAAACATATTCGTAATTGCCTTGTATAACTGATAAATAGCATTAAAATCAGTCTTCTTATGCAAAGTCTCATGTGACAGGTTGACTATCTCAACAATGAAACGAATTTATATGCGATGAACATTTCGAAAAAAAGATATACAGTATAACCTCTCTGTAATAAACATCCGTCGGACTTTTTAAAAATGTTCACTGTAAGAAGGCTAGGTCTTTTCCTAAAAGCAATTTTTTTACAAAGAATATTCACGTTTTCTAGGTATCGCAGCAGTGTTAATAAATAATAAAAAAATTAATTATTGCTTCTTGTTACTTATCCTTTCGCGTAGTATTGTTCTTGGAAAATTAACATTTGTTAAAATATAGAAAAGTTTCCCTATTGTGAATGCCATGGAGACTTTTCAAAACTACTCATTATAGAAGTATATGACAATATTCACTATGTAGAGGTTCAATTTCAGTTAAAATCATTTCGGCGAACCACGAAGTGTCCACTATGAAATGTTTTACTGTATATTGAAAAATTCTTATCACAATCGATTGAGCAAGATCAGTTCTCATTAAGCAGAGAAATTACCGTTTACCTATCGAAGAAATGATTAGAAGTCAACAAGTTCGGATTTAGTTCCAATCTAAGAAACTGTTGAAAACTTTCTTTGACCTGCCATGCAGGGAGCTGCGTGTTCAAGTTTTCGTGGACCTGAGCCTTAAAAAACGAAACTTCTCCAACCGGGATTGGATTTACACCCGGTCGGACGCAGACCAGAGTCTTTTCCACCAATATCTGATATCCTCTGAGTACATGAACAAATGAAGGATCAAGAATTTAGCTATTTATTGGCTATTCTCAGAAAAAAGTCAACGTATAGTTATTTTTCGTTGTTCACTTTCACATCTAGGATGTTGCGAATCAACGTTTTTGTGAATTCGGAAACGAGAGAAGCTAAACTTCTGAATCCGAGCTCGGAGCTGGAAGAATCCGCAGCTTTCTACCAGGTCTCGAAATCGGGCTATTTTTTTATGACTCGGCTCAGCTCGAGTCTGAAAGAAACTTTGCTTACAAAGATTTTTTTTCTTAATAGACAACCATTCCATCTTTTTCGGGTTTTATAAAAAGTGATGTACAAGGGGGTAGCGTGGAAAAGCTTCCTCTATCCCCTTCAAGGATGAGCCAAATCTTAGAAAAAGTTATGTCAAACAAGGATAAAATTGTCGGGCCGCTTGGCCCAACAAATTTATCGGCCCCGCTCACAAAATATTTCGTTGGACCGGACGACCCATTTCAAGGTCTGCTTCCTACTGAAATGATCTCTTCCAACAGTTTATCAGCTCATTAGATCTGAACTTGTGAGCTGAAGATGGTCGTCTTCTAGAAGTGATGTATTCAATAGTAATAATTTTCTTCCCTTAAATTCTATAAAATCATGTTAGAAATCTTTAAAAAAGTTATATTTGACGATTAAATTTGATTTCTTGAAGTTCTAGGAAGTTGTCAAACATATTACTAGGAAACAGTTTAGCAGATTGTTTTGAAGATTGGAAAGTTGTTTTTAACTATTACTGAAGCTAATCTGAAAAATTTTTTTTTTGTTTTGTAATGAATAATTTTATGTAATATGCAACAAATGAATTTATTTAAAGTTTTTATATTATTTCTTACTTGATAAATCACATAATATTTAAGTGCAAATGAAGATAAATATAATATATTCATACATGAATCAATAATATTATTCCATGAAAGAAAATAATCTTGAAGACCATCATTATATGCTTGTTTAATTTCATGCCAAAGAAAACCTAAAAATATATTATAAAATTTTATTTTATTTTATTTTATTCGTTTATAATCATTTACCAATAACAAAAACTGATATTGTTATATCAATCCATGTTGGTCTATCAGCTCGAAAGATAAGATCCACGTTTGGATATAAATAACACTCATTTGGATCAGATAGATTGTTTGCATTTGTCATTGACTTATTCAATGCTATTGATATATGTGAATAATTAGAACTTAAACGTTTTAATGGTTTTTCTAATTCAACAGCAAATAAAAGACTTGAAACAATAATTAAAACAATAAATATTGCATATGATATTATATGACCGATGAATTTTATACATGGTTGTTGAAGAAATCGTTGAATCTATAAATAGAAT